CCAGAAGGGTTTGGGAGAAACCTTGTTTCCCCTAGTGCCCCCTGGCATAACAAGGAATAAAGGCCACAAGTTGTTGGAGAGGAGGTTCAGATTACGCATCCGTAAGAACTACTTCACAGTCAGGGCAGCTAGGATCTGGAACCAACTTCCAAGAGAAGTGGTGCTGGCTCCTACCCTGGGGGTCTTTAAGAGGAGGCTTGATGCCTACCTGGCTGGGATCATTTGAGCCCAGTTTTTCTCCTGCCCAGGCCTGGGGTCATACCTGAAGATCTACAAGATCCCATCCGACCCGACTTCTGATTCTATGACTTTGAACACAGTCTCCCTGGTCCCAGCCAAGTGCAATCCTTATCTCTCCCATAATTCCTGGACCGTCACAGCTGCAACATCACTGTAACCCTGCTGTGTCCAGGAGAGAGGTCACGGCTCAGAGCCCTGAGTGGGGCTAGCAAGTTGATGCAGTCTGGATGTAAGCATCTAACTGCTTTTGGGGTCCCCCTCCCTTCAGCATCTCCCACTCAGCTTGGTGGCATCCACAAGTCCCTTCCTCAGGACCCTCACTCCTCAGTGCCGTGCTCAGGGCAGTGGGTCCCTCCAGATGCCTCATCTTCTGCACAGTAAGAGGCTCTTTAGGGGTCACTTAATCATCTAGAGCTAGAGGGGACTGGCCTGTGGAGACCTGAGGGTAAGGGACTAAAGCAAGGGACAGTGGTTGAGACCCCAAGACGTAGCGTCTCCTGAAAGAGGAAGGAACGAGTCTTCTAGCAGTGGGTGTGAACTCTCACTTGCTAGGAAGCGTGTGTAGGGCATGAAGGATGTGTTTGCTTCTCACAGATCCCTTCCTTGCTGCGGCTAAAGCACTGCCCAAACGTGACCTTTGCGGGAGTGGATGGCCCAGAGGACGTAACTGACCACACCTACCAGGACCTCTTCCACATGGGCGGCTTCGTGGTCTCAGACGAGGAAGTATTAGAAACGGTCACTTTAGGTGAGTTCCACGTTTCCACCCCCTGCTCCTCCTTTCTTACACGGCTCATTCGTTCCAGGAGGGTAGCTTGGAGAGCAGCTGTGGAAACGATGGCTTCAACTGAATACAGAAGACGGCAAAAATATGGGGACATGCCTATGGCTCTAGAGGGCTTTCACTTGGGCAAACTCAACCCAAGCTGGATTCAACTAGCAGCCTAGGAAAATACTACCGATATTTTTAACCTCTTGAACCACCGCTGAAAATAGGGGGGCAGAAAATCTGCTATGTTTTAGGCCTCTGGGTGGCTCGTTAAAATGAGGATCGCTTATATCTCATATGTAGCGCGGACTGGCGTATCTTCCCATTTCATAGGGCAAGTCTATACTGCCCCAGTGCAGGGCTAGCAGGTGCCATACTGAGATGTGCGACTAACGCAACTTCCTCTGAATAGTAGCATAGCCAGCTTTGGGTGGCATGGGGCATGTGCCAATAAACTCTGCCTCTCAGATGAGCTGGCTGATGCACGTACAGTGCCTTTCTATGCTGGTCCCGGCTTGGAAAGCCAGACATACAGAACTGGTGTGAAACATCCCGGTACAGCAGCCCCCAACACTGTCCTCAAGCTCTGTGGACATGCCCAGAAGTAGCCCCTGATTCTCAGACTCCACATTGGGAGGTTTGTTCTTGCCTGAACGCGGTGGATGCTCTTTCCACAGGTCAGCTGAAAGAAATGGTTAAAGCGCTGGAGAAGCTGAATGGTACTGGGCGGTGGCGATGGCTGCTTCACTACAAAGAAAGTAAAAAGCTAAAAGAAGATGTAAGGTAATCACATCACAGACCCCCCGGTTTCCCAGTCAGATTCATGGGAAGCCCAGGCTAGAGGCCTGGAAACCATGACGTGCAAGGAAAGGTTGGAAGAAGTGGGGTTTATTAGTCTGGAGGAGAGAAGACTAACAGGGGGTTGGGGGGATGGAAAGCAGCCTTCCAATATGGAAAGGGTTTTTCCAAAAAAACGGGCATTTGACTCATCTCCGTGCCTCAGGGATAAGAAAGAAGCAAAGGGCTTGAATGGCAACAAAAGGGGCTGAGGTTGGTTATTAGGAAGAATATTCTGAGAGGATAGCTAAGCACGGGGACCGATTAACTAGAAAGGATGGGAAATCTCCATCACAGGATGTTGTGAAGTGCAAGTTAAATGAATGCTTTAGCCAGGGGGTGAATACTTTAGCCAGGGGGAGTCCAGCATGAGCAGGAGGTTGATGAGATGATCTCTTGAGGTCTGTCCCAGCCCCTTTTTTCTGTGATTTAAGCTCCAGCCCTTCTGCTTGTCTTCTATCCATTGCCTAAGCAATCCAACAGGGTCTTCAGTTTGGTCTGGTATGGACAGGTAGGGATTGCTATGTAGTGGAGACCGTCATGAAGGCCACAAGGTCTGTTCACATTACTTTTTGTTCACTCAGGTTTTTTTTCCCTGAGAATAGTTTCATAGATTTAGGGTCGGAAGGGACCTAGTAGATCTTCTAGCCCGACCCCCCACCAGGGCGGGAGAACAACAAAACCCCAAAACAAGAAACAGGACTCAAATGAGTCCAGCCAGGTAGGCATCCAGCCTCTTCTTAAAGACCCCCAGGGTAGGGGCCAGCACCACTTCCCTTGGAAGTTGGTTCCAGCTCCTAGCCGCCCTAACTGTGAAGTAGTT